ATGATAAAACCTATTCCCGTTTTGGAACCTCCAACATTCAAGACCAGCAAGTGGAAAGTGATGAAAAGATCTTTATGAGACAGAATTTTCTTGGAGCATCAGGGTCGCTGTACATTTTCCATACGTTTTCTTCCCCTCTTTCTGGGTTCCAGCAGGATGACCAATGCACACCCCACAAGTTGTTCTAATCTTTGTTTCAGGGGGAAATTGGCCGAGAGATGTACATTATACAAGTTGGACAGGTGCAGGTGCTTGGAGGACCTGATGGCAAAACTGTGCTTGTGACACTGAAAGCTGGATCAGTGTTTGGAGAAATAAGGTCAGAGAGAGGATCGATGGGGAATTGGGAGAATAAAGTGTAAGACTAAGACTAAGATTAGAAGGAAATTGGGGAAATAAGGCAGAGGTGGAGAAAAATAAAATTTGGAAATAAGATCTGGAAAGGAGGATCCATTGCTAGGACCTGTTTGCTGTTATAATGAAAAGGGGTCCCAATTTAACACCGAGATCTGTTAACACAAATACATTCCATTTTTTAATTTTAAACTTTCGAACTGTCATTGTCTCCCTGACTCCATTCTCTGTAAGTCTACACAGTCTGAACTGACTTGGTTGTCTAGTGATAGTTGCAAAGGCAACTCTCTTGGGGAAGAGAAAAAGGGAAAAAGAGAATGGCATATATTGGTCATCAACAACCATCCTGGCTGATTAAACAGCATTGACAAGAGTCCTCTGCAGTGCTTCTCAGCTGAAAAGATGGCTGACCACAATATGGTCAGAAATAGATAAAAATGGGGATACCACAGGCCTGCAACAAGGATATTGAGGGTCCCCCTGGATAAAAACAAATCACTCAATCAACTGTATAGTGGATAAATAGAGAAAACTGACTATTCCAACGTGGATCACCCCTTTCCAATACGAGCAGAGTGAAAAGAAATCATTGCAAGCTTCCTGTTCTAGGCCATTGGCCCTGTGCTGATATGGCTTCAGGTAGGGAATCCACGGGAGTGAGAATGGGTGAAATCAAAGCACAGTGAAAACGGCTCATCGTTATCAGGAAGAGAACATATTTCTAATGAGTTAGGCTGGCTGTTCAGGTCATCTGACCCCAAAGCAGAAACAAGAGCTTGAGATACAAACATGAAAACAAAATATTATAGTTTAAAAAAACCTGTGCATCCCTACTGGCCATGATCGACATACTCCGCAGTGGTAATAAAGAAGGGTGGAACTAAAATGCTGACCTGGTTATCTTACATAAAGTTTCAGAGGGGTAGCCATGTTAGTCTGGATCTGTAAAAAGCAACAGAGAGTCCTGTGGCACCTTTAAGACTAACAGATGTATTGGAGCATAAGCTTTCGTGGGTGAATACCCACTTCGTCAGATGCATGTAATGGAAATTTCCAGAGGCAGGTATAAATATGCAGGCAAAAGGCAGTCTGGAGATAACGAGGTTAGTTCAATCAGGGAGGATGAGGCCCTCTGCTAGCAGTTGAGGTGTGAACACCAAGGGAGGAGAAACTGCTTTTGTAGTTGGCTAGCCATTCACAGTCTTTGTTTAATCCTGATCTGATGGTGTCAAATTTGCAAATGAACTGGAGCTCAGCAGTTTCTCTTTGGAGTCTGGTCCTGAAGTTTTTTTGTTGTAAGATGGCTACCTTTACATCTGCTATTGTGTGGCCAGGGAGGTTGAAGTGTTCTCCTACAGGTTTTTGTATATTGCCATTCCTGATATCTGACTTGTGTCCAGATAAATTTATCCGGATAAATTTACCTCACCCTCCCTGATTGAACTAACCTCGTTATCTCCAGACTGATTCTTGCCTGCATATTTATACCTGCCTCTGGAAATTTCCATTGCATGCGTCTGACGAAGTGGGTATTCACCCACGAAAGCTTATGCTCCAATACATCTGTTAATCTTAAAGGTGCCACAGGACTCTCTGTTGCTACATAAAGTTGGTTACTATGGTAGTATGTAAACGAAAGTCACTACTATTGTTAATATCCAACACTTGTACATAGCTGCCCAGAGTGCAGAAGTGATTTGTAACACACTGGTGGTCGGTACTTTTCTGTCTATATTAAGCTAGTTTTAAAGAGCAATATTATAAAATAACTACAATGAAATCATTTTTATGTAGTGACTTTCATACCAATGTATCACCAAAACACTTAAAATATTAGATGCGTAAAATGTCATGGTTGGCAAAAGTTGAGCTCCAAGTACACTGGCAACACATCTCCTGCAGCAAACTCTGCTATCAAACCATGTGAAAGCTCAGATTTTAAATGGTAAAAACTGTATTGGCCTTACATACAATAGTTTTAACATCTCTTGGTATTTTAATTAGCTTGTTGGCAGTGGGAGGTGGAAATCGTCGCACAGCAAATGTTGTGGCTCATGGATTTACTAACCTTTTCATCTTGGAGAAGAAGGACTTGAATGAAATATTGGTGCATTATCCAGAATCTCAGAAGCTGCTGCGTAAGAAGGCTAAGTGAGTGACAGGATGTTGCTAAAATGTCATTTATCATAAACATGCAGATACAGCACAATTTTCAAACTCTGAAAGAACAGGTGATCTTTGGGGTTGCACACTGGAGAAATTACACCCAACGCATTAAGGGAAAATTTTCAGTGCTAAGCACATCAGATCTAAGTACATGGATCTTCTTTTTGGGCCTCAGTTACATCAGTTCTCATAAACGAAGCAGACTTGAGCCTGATCAGGACTTGGGTAGAGATAAAAAACGTAGGTGCTCCAGGAATCGTTGATGTTTCAGCAGACGGTCCTCTTCCCTATGAATTAGCAGCATTGAGCTAATGGCGGTGCCGTTGGAATTGCGGTTCTGCAGATGGGATGTTACACTGAGGTCCTAATAATTTGTGGTCATTTTAAAACTTCCATGGCACTTTTCACAAGAAAATGTAATTTATCTGCCTTGATCAAATTGCAATGTAAGGGCCAAACTGTGACACTGGCTGAAGCAGGAACTTTAGGAATCACTTTGCTCTCCTACATATACAGCCCAAATCACAAGTAGCAACACAGAGGGTGAGCAGCCTCTACTTCTTGTTTCACACTTATGATACTGGGGAGTGAGCAGCGCCTTGGCTCCCCCCACTCATGCACCAGCCAGTACAGCTGAGCCAACGTGTCAAGGCAAGTAATCTGAACTAGGTATAGAGGTGAAGCAGATTATCCCCACGTCCTCTTGGAGCAAGAGCCGGGAGCTAGCCTTTGACTCTCGGAATCACACACTGGTTCCCGTTCCGCTCGTGAGCAGTGTAACTATCTTTCCTTGGGGATGGTGTCACAACTGAGTCTTAAGTAATTACATTCTGACTACTAAAAATCCCAGCTGTAGTTAAAGATGTATTTCTTCATCAGTTTTGCTGAGGAGAGTGCTATTAATTTCCTTTCCTAATTTATTGCTGTTTTCATCCTAGGCGTGTCAGGATATCATTTGCACTTCAGGAATGGAATAGACTAATTAGGGCATCTAGTTTATCCCTCTGGCATTGCAGAATTGTTCCCTGTTTACTTGTGTTTTGTATTGTCTACGTTTAAATGTGTGGAGCAATGGGGCTGCTGTGAAAAATTATTCCTTGATATTCAGCCTAAATTTTCCCTTCTAGTAATTTAATCTCAATAATTAATTTTCATTCTATTCAACACAGCAGCACAGAGGTTTGGAATTCTACTACTACCTAGCTGCCATGCTAGAATGTTAGAAGTAGACCGAGGGACATGGGTAGGTGGGCAACGTGCAAGTGACATGGACATATGTACATGCTAATGTAGCTATAACACGGCTCTGAAATGTATGTATTTGTGCATGCACATTTACAATTGGCTTCTGCAGAGAATGATGCATGCGACTAAATTTGTTTTCTGCACACATTTGTACCAGTCAAACTTTATCACTCGAATGCACACAGGAACCGTGAATGCAACATGGGAACAAACACAACCAAAGCAGACTCATCGAATCATAGACCCACAGGGTTAGAAGGGACAGCCAGGATCATCTACTCTCACCCCCTGCCAAGATGCAGGATTTGTTGTGTCTAAACCATCCAAGGCAGGTGGCTCTCCAGCCTCTTTTTGAAAACCTCCAGTGAAGGAGATTCCATGACTTCCCTAGGCAGTTTGTTCCATTGTCCTGGTGTTTTTACAGTTAGGAAGTTTTTCCTGAGATGTAAACCAAATCTGTCATGCTGCAGTTTGAAGCCTTTTGTCCTGCCCTCTGTGACATGAGAGAACAATTTTTTCCATCTTTTTTATGGCAGCCTTTCAAGGATTTGAAGACCCTTATCATATCTCCCCTTAATTTCCTCTTTTCCAAACTAAACACACCCAGTTCCTTCAGCCTTTGCTCACGTGGCTGCACTCCATCCCTTTGATTATCTTTGTCACTCACCTGTGGATCCTTTCCAGTTTCTCTACGTCCTTTCTATACATTGGTGACCAAAATTGGACACCGTACTCCAGCTGAGGCCTAACCAGCGCCAAGTAGAGCAGTATTATCACCTCCTGTGACTTGCATGCTGTGTCTCTGTTAATGCAACCCAAAATTGCATTTGCTTTTTTTTGCAACAGCATCACATTGCTGACTCATGTTGAGGTTGTGATCCACCACAGCTCCCAGCTCCCACACCAGTTATTCCCCATTCTGGATTTGTGCATTTGGTTTTTCTTCCCTAAATGTAGCACCTTACATTTGTCTTTGTTGAATTTCATTTTCATACTCTTAAAAATTTGAACAAAAGATTCACAGGAATTTTTTCCCCACAATTTTCCCAGCTCTACTCTGCAACAAAGTCTAATGTGTTGAGAGTGCCGTTAACAGCTGCAAAACTTGAACTGTCTGTGTTAGAAAATTAATCCAATATTGCATGTCTCTGGACAAAATTAGTCTCTTTCTTATTCTAGGAAAATGCTGAAAAACAACAGTAAACCCAAAGAAGAAAAAGGCATGCCAAAAGATGTGCTTATCATTCCTCCAAGACCTGGGACACCTAAACTCTTTCAAGCTGCCCTGGTTGCTGCAGGAAAGATGGGAGGCAAAGGAAAACTTGCCCATATCAGATGGAAATTGCGAGAGCTGAAAGCGATGCAAGCTATGCAGGTAAGGACAAAGGATTGGAGTTTTTGTTCTTTCATTCACAATGAAACTATCATCTTGCAACACTGTTCATGGAGACAACAAGAAACAGCAGAGAGTCTATATTTCAGCTGAACAATAATGAACCATTGGTTGATCACAATCTACATGCTCATTCTTTCTTTCACTTTTCTGCTCGGACTATCTACAAGGGTGCCAATTGGTGGCAATCATGGACAGAAATTTGTCCATAAGGAAATCAGCGGAGATAACCAACTCATTTCATATGAAGTCAGACTAAGTTTGAGAGCAATATGGAATAAATGGAAAAGCTTGAAATTCTCCTTTCTCTCTCTGCCAGACATATTAATTCATGTTACTAATACTGTGGTAGTGCCTCAGGGTCCCACTCATGGATTAGGGCCTCATCACTTTTACTTTGTTTTATTTGTGTTCCAGGAGTCCAGTTCCACTCCAGTTCTGCTGAAATTACCAGTCCGCCATGATTCATCTAGAGCCTCCTGCAAATCAGGTGACCATCCTGACGAGGAGGATATCATCTCAAAGTCTTCAGATAATTCAGTCTTTATTCGCATGAGTCCTGCCCCACAAAGCAGCGAACAGATCCTTTCTGTGGAGGTTTCAGACAAGGAAGAAAAGAAATGAAAAGCAAACAACCCGCTGTCCCTCTTAGAAAGCCACTGCCATGAGTTTCAGCCAGACAACTGCATCCTATAGAAGCTTTTACTGGCTACCGATTTCTGTTCAATGGGTTTAAGCGTCGCTCACGAAGCCACCTTGATATGCTGTGCCTTTCTTGGGTACTTAGACCCCAAGGCTGCTGTTGATAAGGCTCTTTGCCATAGGGCCCAGAACTGTACAAAGCTTCTCAACATTTATTGAACTCCTTTATAAACATTCCCACTAAATACCCGGCCAACCCTCCTGCCTCCAAATCCAGCCTTACAGTGAAGGGAGCCTGGCAGTAATGAATACTGGCTTTTTCCAGTTCTGAATGGTTAGTGTCCGTTTGCATCAGAGATTCGTGCAGCCCCTTCTGAAGGTTGCAGTTGTTTTTCCCCCTTAATGTGACTCAGAATTTACTCAAAACAAACAGAAGAAAAGCCAAGATTCCTGTCCATTTGCTGCAAGGTTGTCATAGACGATGCTGTGTCAGACGCGGAAACGATGGAAAAACCGACGTGGTTCTAAAGAACAGCAAAGAAAATTAACATAACTGATAGCCTGAAAGACAGGACTTCTCCCGAGTTCGGAATTCTGAGATATGCAAACAAGCATGTAATTTGTTTCAATGGGGTGTGTGTGTCACCACATGAACATAGCTTGGTTTCATAGGCTTATCCCCATTTTTAACATCATCTTTGCAATTCCTTTGTTACTTGTTGGATCTCAGGCCCTCTGCCTATAAGGAAGCAGGCTACTGTTTCGCACATTGCTTATTATTGTAATACTGTGCTCGTCCTCTCTTTGGTTCGGTGCTCATCCAATAGACAGTACTGTGGTCGGGACTCAGGCTGAGCAAAAATTGATCTTTTGGTTCAGCGTCTGAACCGAGAAATTTCATTTGGGTTGAACGAACATTTCCCTTCTTTGCGTAAAGGAGAAATAAGGTGTTGGCTACATGGGGCAGTCCCAAAATGTATTAAAATAGAATTTCACTCATTCAACAAATACTCATGCTCTAATTAGTAGTGCAGACCTCACAAGTTTACCTATGGAATGGCCATGCTGCTAAACGAGTAGGATGCCACTGTAACAATTACACTCATATGTACTTTATACATTTGCCACTTTTCAGATCTTATTTTACAGGGAAAGTTTTGATATGAAATGACTGACCTTTACCTTACCCCTTCTTCACCATTTACTATCATGCATACAAGTTTTCTCCCTCCCAAGAATGGTCCTCGGAGAAGCTATGTGGGCTTCTCTGGGGGCAGAAATACATGTCAATGCTGATTAGTAGCATCTTGATGTCTGTTAAGAATTCTTACAGACCGCAGCACATTTAAGGAACTCAGATATGTTACAAGTACAGCTGAGGTCACCACTGCTCTTAACACTGCAGGGTAAAATCTTGAGGTTTGATAAGAGTGTTGAAACTTCCCTGAATATTTCTTATCCCATGAAGATTTGTACATTATTCACAGTTTCCTACATGTTGGTGGAAAGTGTATAGTATTTTTTCACTATATAAACATTTTAAAAGTCAAAACAGGAAATCTGTGCAAAAATTATAGGTGAAAATGGGGTTTTGATTCCTGGGTATATTTTGATATGGTTTGTAAGGATAGTTTAAATGATTAACATGCCTTCTGCTGCAGTGGCTTTCATATTCCAAAGCATTTTCATTAAACTTTTAGATTATTGTTCATCATGTGTGGGTTCATTTCTGGAACAGAGAATGTGATAAAAATTCTTGCTTATTTTAGCTTTGTCTATTAATTTGCTATACGTCGACAAAACAAATTTATGTGCAAGCTTTTAGGACAATTTTCTCAGACTTAAAACAACCCCAAACTAACGTTACAAATTTGTCATAGAGCTATGAGTCTTTATGCCATATTTCACGTGAGCACCTGGACAGACTCACCTTCTCTGTGCCAATCAAGAAGTTCAGTGGTAACATTACCACAAAGCCAACTAGCTAGACAATACACCCAGAATTCTTATATTTACTTGCTGATTGATTTTTGTAAAGGTTCAGAATGCCTTTCAAATGTCACCACATTTTTAATAGCAGCCTCCAGAAATTTTTGAACTCACTGTTATCAGAGGCTAACAGCCTGAAAAAGTCTCTCAGGGTACGTCTATACTTACCTCTGGGTCCGGCAGTAAGCAATCGATCTTCTGGGATCGATCCCGGAAGTGCTCGCCGTCGACGCCGGTACTCCTGCTCCGCGACAGGAGTACGCGGAGTCGACGGGGGAGCCTGCCTGCCGCGACTGGACCCGCGGTAAGTTCGAACTAAGGTACTTCGACTTCAGCTACGTTATTCACGTAGCTGAAGTTGCCTATCTTAGTTCGAAGTGGGGGGTTAGTGTGGACCAGGCCTCAGTGAAATCCTGGCTCAATTGCCCCATAGCATCTCACTGCCTCTAGTTTTTAACTGCATCTGGTTGTGCATGCTTTTGTTCCGCTTAGCTCTTCAAATTTCCTGCATAGCAATCATTTGTAAAAAGCAAGTCAATCTGCTCAATGACCCTGCTGAGTTCAAGGTAAATGTGTTGGCTCAGGCCAGTGTCTAATTCTATCCCCATTCCTGGTTTTTATATTTCCTTATTCTTTAATGTCACTTTAGAAGCATTGAAATCCAGCATTTGTGGATGGGGAGGACCCCTAAACGATCCTCTGGTTTCCAGCAGATGCGTTCTACCATTTCGGCACCTATGCCAGTTATTATGGATTCATTTACTGTCCTCACCTATTAATCAGGAGCCTATGTTTTTTTTCAATCTTCCATCTGGAAAACACAGCACTGCTGTTTTCACAGGCGTTGCTTTCTTAGTAAATGTCACATCCAGTGGCTGCAGATCTATCGCACAGACAGTGTTTTACCACATTTATTTTGCTAATAGTGTTTCCAAGCAAATGACCCTACAGGGCCGGGTGCTGTTCATACACACTGTAAAAGACAATCCTTCCCATGTAGACGTTACTATCTAAATAAATGGAACCAGAGGCTGTTCAAGACAATCTGAGGTGCTAAGCAAAACTTAAGTGGGCCACCCCATCTTACTTCCTGGAACAGAGGTTCTCAACCAGAGGGGGCAAGTCGGACCTTCTGCAGGGGGCGTGTCGAGCCTTCTGATGGTTTGGTGGTTATGGTAGAAATGGGGGAGGGGAGGCAAGCACCAGGTTACACTCAGGTTTGGCCAAATTTGAGTGAGTGGTGTTGGGACCTGACGTGCTGGATTGCAGCACTGCTTCGGTTTGGGCTGGACATTCCTGTTGCCCTAGACTGAATCTGACACCCGAGACAGCTGCCTCGTTTGCCTACAACTAGCAAGACGCTTGAGACAGACCCGCTGACACGTAATGCTTTGTTATAATAACATTAGGAGGTACTTTCGCTATCCACATAAAAAGCAACTATTCACTAAAGGACCAATGGAGCTGATATGCATAACAACCTCTATTATTTTAATCTTTAAGGAAGAGGAGATGAAAGCTGCATTGCCTCAGCTCAACTGGTGAGAGGCAGAGAATGCAAAGCAAAGCCATCGGTGCAAGTCCAGAATGCAACTAACCCACCATAATACTGTTTAGGGACCGGGGGAAATCAACAGGATAGGTAATCTGGAATGGTGCCCAAATGTCTAATCTGGGGGTAAAGGGTCCGAAATTACTTGAAGAAGTCAAACAGCCAGCACGGATATTGAGGGAGTTAGTGAGCCACCTGCTGCCAAATTGAGGATTAAATCGGAGGCAATATTTTACGAGCACCTTCCTTGGTGACGACTGATTTGATTAATACAATAATATGGAATACATAAGGCGTGTTTCAATGGCAATGTCACATTTTATTAACTGTGCGGTAGCTCCCCTTTTTTAAGTGCCTTCAGCCTGGCCAGCTCTGCCTTGTACAGAAGCTAGACTACGCTCAGGCAGGGCAGCCGTTCGATATTCCACAGCTGAGGGGAGCTCGTGCTCAGACTGCTTTTGGTGGGGTTGTCTCCCAGTAGTTCGCGCCTCGACTGTTATTAGGCGGGCAGCCGACAAGACACCAAAACAACGTCCTCTCCCCGTCCCGCCTTCACAGGGCAAGCGCGCTTCCCCTCCCCCTCCTATTTTGTTCTGCAATCCCCGGCGCGGGGCACTGGTGAGAGTGGCTAGCCCAGGGGTTCTCAAACTGGGGGGTCGGGACCCCTCAAGGGGTCGCGAGGTTATTCCATGGGGGGTCGCGAGCTGTCAACCTCCACCCCAAGCCCCACTTTGCGTCCAGCATTTATAATGGTGTTAAATGTATAAAAAAGTGTTTTTCATTTATTAGGGGGGTCGCACTCAGAGACTTGCTATGTCAAGTCACCAGTACAAAAGTTTGAGAACCACTGGGCTAGAAGAACTAATAGCCTCTGAGGAGTTTTTAGGTCAACCCTCCCTCAGGCTATTAGATGTCCAACCCGTACCACCACAGAAGGAAAGGCGCCGCGGGTGGGGGAGAGGGGAAATCCTGTCAAACACGGTTCAGTCCCCTTTCCTGACCCCAGCTTGACCCTGCGTTTCCTCACCGCCCCAAAGCTTCCAAGGGAGAGGAGGAGAGGCTGCTCCTCATTAACTCACGGCTCATGGGCTCTGATTTCTATGCGTTTTAAATGGGAACTTTCAAATGACGTTGTCACACCAACAGGAACTGAGAAGAAAAATTAGCTCTCTGCCACAGAGGGGCGGGGTGGCAATACAGAACAAGAAGGCTGTGCTCCCATTAAGGGGAGGAGGTTAAGAATATTATTAACTCATACCAGGAGGATATAAACAAAAATGACCAGGGCGGAATGGTTTGGGACAGCTATACCAATTGCAAGAAGATTAAAAGCTGTGAGCGCTTTTTTATTTCGCCTGACAGCTGCCAAAATTTCTCTCATCTCTTTCCTGCCATTGTATTTCCACTTCTGGCAGAGCTCCAGCATACAGTCTGGATGTCT